TGCCAGCCTCAGGGGTCACTCCTGTGTTCTGCCCTGGCCTCAGGGCATTATTTCTGTGTTTTGCCCTGGCCTCAGGGCATTATTTCTGTGTTTTGTCCTGGCCTCAGGGGTTATTTCTGTGTGCTGCCCTGGCCTCAGGGGTCATTCCTGTGTTCTGCCCTGGCCTCAGGGTATTATTTCTGTGTTCTGCCCAGTCCTCAGGGGTCATTCCTGTGTGCTGCCAGCCACAGGGCATTATTTCTGTGTTTTGTCCTGGCCTCAGGGCATTATTTCTGTGTTCTGCCCTGGCCTCAGGGTATTATTTCTGTGTTCTGCCCTGGCCTCAGGGGTCATTCCTGTGTTCTACCCTGGCCTCAGGGTATTATTTCTGTGTTCTGCCCAGTCCTCAGGGGTCATTCCTGTGTGCTGCCAGCCTCAGGGCATTATTTCTGCCAGGATCTGTCCAGCACAGGCCGCTCTGTGCTCTGTGCCTGCCCTGCTCCCTTCCCAACACTGCTCCCCTGGCTCCAGGGCACTGCTCCTGCTGAAATCCCAGTGGATTGTGTCACATCTAACAAACAGCAACACACAGCATGGTCTAAATATACAGAGCACTGCTTCTACCCACCTGTGCCTCCCCCCAGTTTAGAAAATTAAACATATTCATTAGTGAAGGTGTGAACAGAGTCTGGGCAAAAAGTTCAAACATCATCTTCCTACTCCATTTTGAGCCACATACAAATATTTAAGTGATTCTAAACTATTACACTGTAAAGAAAATAGCTGATGAAAAAGAGATTAAACCCTCAAAATCCCCTTCTTTCATAAGCACTTATGATTTAACAGTTTCCAATTTCAACATTACATCTTATGTAAGGCTAAACACAGCTTCAAGTGAGAGTTATTTAATTCCCTTCTCATCAAGAGGTAATTAATGTAACTGAGAGCTCCTTATCCTTTTGCACCCGGCTCACTGAGCACAGATTTCATTCCTCCTCTTGTTGGACATAATTCAGTTTGCTGTGTTTGGTGCTGACATGAAGCTGACTATATTGGAAATCATTTGCATGGTTCACTTTGGAGACTGAAGGTCTGCACTGAGCATGTTCCATGCAGTTAACTTCCAGGAATTGCCAGCTTTAGTGTCTTTGTACCTCCCCAGTAGTTTTTAAGAGTTTATTCATTTGGCACTAGAGCTGGCTTAAAATGTCATGTGTCAATATTGTTGGGTGGATAATTCTGTATCTGCAAAAATATCAATAGCAACCAGTGTTCCCTGGCATCCCTTCAGCTGCAAAGGCATCAGGGAGCAGTTACAGGATGTCTCTGTTGCCTCAGCCTACAATATTAAAAAAATCTATAAATACCCTTTTTTTTTTTTCACCAGAGATGAAATGAACAGGATTCCAACCTGCTACATCCATTACGATAACTTGCTGAAGTAATTAAATTATTGACAGACCTCCCAGCCCTCAGCAGAGCAGGCAGATTCCAGTGGCTGATGTCTGCCTGTGACATGCCATTCCCACATTTGTGTGGCCAGCAGCAAGCTCGGGGTGCCGTGGGCAGTGCCCACTCTCAGGGACCCCAGGTACCTGGCATTCCTGCCCACCCTGAGGGGCTCACGTGCACTGAGCTCAAGGTGCTGAAGGAAACACGAGCACTTGAACTGATGCAAGCTTGGAACTGAAGTGTAAATATGAGTCCTGCTACTGTCTGCTATGGGGATTTTTGATGGCTCCTAGCTGGTTTCAAGGCAGATGGACTGGTGGCTGATTAAGTTCTTAGAAATGTCTCTTAATCATACAAAACTGCTCGGATTCTCAGTCCCAAAGCTCAGTGCAGCCCTCCCTGTGGAGAGCACAGAGCAGCAGGGTCTGGCAGGCTGGGGCAGAGGGCTGCTGGTGGCACAGGGGGTGACTGGTGCAGACCTGCCCCTCTGCCCACTGCCCCCAGCAGGGAGGGAGCTGGCAGCTGCAGATGGCAGGAGCACATTTGTCAGGATATGGGAGCGGGAGGAAACGTGGGCACTGTCCCCTGCGGGGCTGCTCTGTGCCCAGCTGTGAAATGAGAGCTCTCACTCTGCCTGGGCCAGTGGAGACAGCACTGAGGAGCAGCAGAGCAGGCAGCCCGACCCAGCAGCTGCACAAACATCACCAGGATGTGAAAACCTGGAGGAGATCGAGCAGCACACATCTGCACAGAGCAGGAGCCCAGAGCCAGCACTTGGCCACAGCAGCCCTGGGAGCAGGGGCAGTGCCAGCGTGGCCCTGACCAGGGTGGGACACAGCAAAACTGGGCTCTGACTAAACCAGGCACTGTCAGCTCTCTGGAAATCAAGATTTGCCAAGATATTTGTCTCTGCTGCTCTTCTGCTGCTGCAAGTTTGATCAGAAAATCAGCAATTCCACAGCATGAGTAAAGGTGATCTTTTAGCCATGTGAGTAAGTTTTTCTAAGTCTTAAAGGTTCTCAACCTTCTGAACAGAATTATGACACCAAGTGTAATCACACAGGCTCCCTCCTTGCTGTTCCATGCCCACCACACTTGTCTGGAGCAGTAAAACATTGCCAGGGTCTCTGGAATGCTGCCAGTCCTAGAACAGCAACCACAGCTCTCATTTATTTCACTCACCTTGTGTTTACCGAAGTTCCCCATTAATGATCGGCCATGAGACTTTTTTCCACCTTCTTTTGTGTCCAAGTTCTGTGCAGAAAAAGTGCAATAAAAGCATAACTAAATACGTTCAAAAATGTATTTAAAGACTCTGCTACAGCCTCCAAAAGGCAGCATTTCAACCCCATACAGTTCTTATATGTCACCCTGGTTCACTATAGGAAGGTAAAATTATTCCAAATGAGACAAAGTGAGTTAAAGTCTGATCTGTGAACAAATTGAAATCCAAAATCTGATTACAGAACTTCTCTAATTTCTTTGTATGCTTCATAGTTTAGAACCATCTAACTGTAAAGAAAAATACTAACATTAGCACTCAAGACAACAACAAACCCTGTAGAGAAAGCAGTCTAGCAAAATCAGGCAAATAACAACAAACCAAGATGTCTGAGTGTTCTTGAAAGCAGCCACAAAGGGAAAAAGGAGGGGAAAAAGACTCTCCTAGCAGATAAAAGTGGATTTCTCATAGGCAGCCTGCAGGCTGAGTTCCACATTCCCAGCCATGCCCCCAGACATCAGCTGGATAACTCCTGGCAGCATCTCACTTCTTCTGTCAGGAACACACAGCCTTTCATCTTCTGAAGAGCAAAACAAAACTGAAGAATATTCCCCCAGCATTTCAGCTGGGTGAGTGTTTCAGTGCTGTGAACTCCAGCTATGAGCTGGAGTCACTTTGGGCTTTCATGATAAGGGCACTGGGGGCCCAGCAAAATCAATAACCGTGTTCAGAGATTTGCTCAGAGCTCAGGCTGGAAGTCTCTGTAACATGTAGAAAGAATCTTTAGCAGATTTTTACTTCTTTTAATAGCAATTATTTGGGAAAAACCAAAGGCAGACCAGTAATGAAGGAAAAATAAATCACCAGTAAAAAAAGCAGGAAAATATCCCAGCTGCTCCCTTTCTGGTCCATCAATTACACAGTAACTCCCAGAAAAGAGCTCTGTGACACTGGTTCCAGAGCGGGCACATCTCCACAGAAAATTCATTCTGTATTTAATGTCCCTGGAGTTGGTATCCATTTCCTCAGTTCCTGGCTCTCTCATCTGAACAGTCTGCAGCACATCGCCCTGTCCAGTCCCCACGGGGGCTCTGAAGGGAGGGCCCACGTACCTGCTTCAGGTTCACACTGAAACTCTGGTGAGTTGCCTTCAGCAGGGCTCTCACAGTGAAGCTGTCAGGATCCTCTTTGTCCCTGATCTGGGATTCTTTTAGCAGAGACTCCAGTTTCGTTCGTATAAAAGATTCCACCTGGTGCTGAGTTGCACCGTTGCTCTGGAAGACACCAGGAAACCCAGTTCAGTAGGTGTTTGTGTCCATCCCAAACGCACTGAGGGTCACCCAGTGCTCCCATTTCCTTCCCTCTGCCACAAAAGACTCCTTGCACAATCCTGCCTGATTCTGCCCTTTCTTCCTGTGGCTTTTACTGCATTTCCCTTCTCCTTTTCTCCTGAATCCTCCCAGCCCAGCTCTGAGTCCCCCTGCAGATCCCCCAGGACTGGCCATGGGCTCTCTCTGCCTCACAGCTGTCACAAGCCCCACCTTCTCTTTCAGAAGAGCATGAATTCCCAGATAATGCACTTACAGACACCCTCAGCATTAGATTGCTGCTCCAAACAGTTAAAAAAGGAAGCAATTTATGTTAACAGTCATCCAGACTATACAGATTCAAACCAGTCTCTTACATAAGGCACTTAAAATAAAAATGAATCCTACAGAGCAGCATGAACCTAACAGAGGAATTAAAAACTTAGGAATGAAGAACTCTGCTAACAACTCTAAGTAGGACATGGAGTGTGCATGTAAGAAATGCAGGGCTGGAACACTCTGGGAGCTGACTGTGTGCACATACAAAGCAGGGCTTTAATTTGCAGTCGTCCTCAATTTCATCAGCACTGTCCTCTTCTGAAACCTCTCCTTCCTCAGCATCTGCTCCAAGGCTGCAGGGCAACTTCTTACCCTGAAATGAGGAAAAAACACCCCCAATAAATGTTGTCAGTATTAGTTAGTGCACCCAGTCTGCTCTTCTTGCTTTACCATCTGCTCCTAAATAAATCACCTAGTAAACTTTTGTGCTATTGCTCCCGTGCACAGAAATGTTCTCAGCCTACCTGCTTCATCAGTGGGAGACAGGAATGACATTCAGGATTTCTGCAGAAGATTGATTTTTAGGCTGCATTTTGAAATTAATAATGCTGCTGCTAATGAGTAGGTCAAATTCACTTCATGCTGGTACCTTTACACTGGCTTAAATCCCTGAGTGTTACTAGAATGACTCTTTATATACACTTACAGGATGAAAATTATGCCATTATTTGGAATTGTTTGGCTAGTGAATCAATACTGCCTGTCAAAGGAAAATGTATAAAAGGAGCAAAAACAATAGCAAAAAGATGAGAAGCTGGCTTACTTCTCAACAAGGTACCGATTCCTAAATCTGATTTTATCTTTTCCAACAGAGCTGCTTAAATTGAGCAGGGGATGGGAGACAGGGCTTTGTGCAGGGCTCCTGTGATGCTCGAGATAGAATTTCTCATTCTGAAAACAGCTCAGCTCCACAGCAGTCCGCACCCACAGGGCTCCAGCAGTGAGAGCTGAGGCTCAGCTGAAATGACAACCTCAGACGTGCTGAAAATCCAGCTCAGAAGTTCAGGTGAGAGCCCGGAGCACCCAGCCTCTCCTGCCTTTAGGGCAGTGCCCTGGGATTTCTCACGGGAGCGACGTTCCACACGATTTCCTGTGGATCCTCAGAGAGCAGCCCCACGTGTGTGCACAGCTCATTCACCAGCAGCCACCCCACTAAACCGATGCCATGAAAAGCAAAACCACAGCTGAGCACTCAAAGGGCTCCTAATTTAGGGTCAGCTGTCCTGTGCACTGCAGCATGATCAAACTAACATCAGACAAACTGTGAATCCCTGCAGCCAGACTGATGCCAAGGACAGCGGGAACTCCAGAGTATCCTGAGAGTTCACACAGAAGTAATTGCCCCCCTGCATCCAAATAAATTAGACAATCTAATAAGGCAGAACTAATAACCATCCTCCCAAAGGTCTGCCTTGTGCTCCTTCCCTGTTCTATCCATCCTGGCCTTTGGAATTCCTTTCAGAGCAAATCTGTTTGGAGTGAGAGGCTCACACAATTAATCCTGCACAGAGCTCCGGGGCCTCCTCCAGCTCCTCCTGAGCTGCTCTTCTCTCATAAACACAGCAGATGAACCATGAAGAGCTCATCCCATGGACTACAGCTCCGAGCTGGGTGAGGGGAAAGGCAGGAAAGCTTCACTTCTCTATCACTCCAAAGTACTTTGTCCAAGGAAAGACCGTCAGATAATGTTTGGAGCTAAAGGGATATGAACTGGTCCTCAAAAGAAAAGCTGCAATAAATATCACAAGCTGACTTTTGTTGCACTCTGAACACGCCCAGCAGCAAGTTACCTTCACTAGGATTTTCCCTTTTAAATCCTGAGGGCTGGGAAGCTGTCTGGGATCTCCAGTGCTCACAGATGACAAGTCCAGTTTGTCACCAAATATCTCCTTGAGGTACTGGGCGATCTTCTTTTGCTGTTGAATACTGCAGTGGTTTTCAATGGACAGGATCACTGGGAACCTGGAAACAAAGCCCCAGACAGCCTCACAGCTGTGTGTGGAGAGACAGCACCTGCACTCTTACCAACCCACCTGGGAATGGAACAGCCGAGTTCTTCCACAGATTTACCCCAATGTTTCCTAAACTCTTGGCAGCCCCAGGGTTCTAGAACAAGGAATCCCACACTAACCCAAATAATGACAACCACCTCCTTCAGTTTTGAAAGTACCACCTTGTACTTCTCATCAATAACACCAACCTTTTGGGCTTGGTTGGCTTTTTCCCAAAAATCCATTGTTGGGTGTTTTTTATTAAAGCAAAGGAAGTATTTTCCTTTTATTCTCTTTAAACTACTCAAAATTCTCTACACCCACTCATGATTTGAGACTTCTCTCTCTCTCTCTCTGTGTGTATATATATGGGTAAAGTCCACAGTTTTCATAATAAACTTTTATAAAGCACTGTGGCAAATGAAACAGATTCAGAACAATACCCCACATCTCAGTATTTCCTCACACTATACATGACAGCTTTTCAATTTTTCTGCTGAAATAAAGTATTTTCAGTAGGTAGAGAGCATCACAGTATCGATTTCTCAGGAGAATTTCCCTGTGGATGCGAGTGGGAAGTTCTATTGAAAGTGTCAGACTGTCCAAAGCCTTACTGAGTTTAAGAGCACAAAAAGGTTCAAAGGTTCAACTTAGGCAGAACTCTCTCTCCCTCAAATGATGGGAAGAGCTTGTGCAGCTGAATAATAAAACACAACATGAGCAATAAACAGGGCAACAGAATCAACCCTGATGTGTTTAAAGAATATTTGCACTTCCTGAGCTTGATGGTTGTTTTCAGTGTGGGAATAACTACAGAAAACAGGCGTAGCTTCAAACCTGGCTCACACTTACTCGTTTTTGATGAAGGCATATTTATTGATGGTTTCTGCCACGTCCCGGAAGAGGATTTTGGAGGTCAGGGTGTAGCCATGGTGCACCACTGGCTCCCCATCTGGGCCATCCCAGCAATCCACTGTTAAGACCAGAAAAGGCACACATTAGGAGATGCCCCCAGTCTCATCCTGCTGCCAGCAGAGCTCACCTGCTCAACCATGCAGGGGCCAGCGAGGTTCACTCCCCTCCTGGCACCTCCCATCCCTCTCCCCCAACCTGCCAGCTGAGCTCAGACTAACAGGACAGTCTCTTCCTAGGTCAGATGTGCAATGTGTTTGGAGAATTGTTTCCCTGGGGGGAGTGCTTGGTTGGATTCTGGTGAGGATTGTTTGAGCCTGGGGGCCAATCCAACCCACCTGGGGCTGGGCTCAGAGAGGGGCATGAGTTGTGTGAGAGTCAGAGAAAGTAGTTTGTAGTTTTAGTATCCTCCTTTTATATAGTATATTAATGCATTTTAGCATCGTTATAATAAAGAACTCATTCAACCTTCTGAATTGAGTCAGACATCAGCATTTGTTCCCATTGGGTTGGCCTGCATTTACAATACCAGAGAGGCTCCCAGTGCAGCCCCCCGTGCAGTGACCCATGCAGCCCCATGCAGCCCCTGCAGCCCCCTGCAGCCCCATGCAGCCCCAATGCAGCCCCATGCAGCCCCCATGCAGTCCCTGCAGCCCCTGCAGCCCCCTGCAGCCCCCATGCAGCCCCTGCAGCCCACCTTCGACGCAGCGGCAGCCGGCCTGCAGCACGCGCGCGTACATCTCGGCGCGGGACTGCGAGAGCAGCTGGTCCCCGCTCAGGTAGGTGTTGTGGGACGAGGCGATGAAGTAGTGGCACAGGGGCTGCTGCATGTCCTGGTGCACCTGGCGGTGCAGCGGGTTGCACACCTCGCACGCCGGGCTGCGCATGAAGCGGGTGAAGCCTGCGGGCACAGGGCGCGTCAGCCGGGCCGGGGCAGCCTCGGAGCCCGCCCGGAGCTGGGGCTCTGACCGGGCTCTGGACCCTGGCTCAGCAGCAATGCCTGCTTGCAGCAGAGCTCCTCATGGCACTGCTGTGCTGTGAACGGCACTGCCCTGGGCAGGGATGGGGCACACAGGGCAGCAGCCGCCAAAGCAGAGCCCTGGATCAGCAGCCAAGCCACTGACCCATCGCCTTCACTTCACAGTTCTCCTTTTCCTGCCAGTTTATTCGAGAAGATGCTACTTAATTTATAACCCTCTAAATGAGAGCAGCGCTGAACAGGGAAGGCTTTAAAAATACCTCCTTTAAGAATGAAACATGGAAAATATTTGCAAAGGACAGGGCAAACAATACCAGCCCTGAAAGCAGCTCAGGGATGAAGGCAGCTGCAGCAGCAGGTTAAGAGGAGCAGCAATGCTTGCAGAAATATTGTTTAAGTGTCACAGCTTGTTTGTTTTACTTTCCTTTTTTCAGTTTGAGTGCAGCGCCCTGGGTCACATCAGAAGCTTGTTGAAGGGAGGCCATACCCAGGATTTAAATACCATGTGGAGGAAAATTCCTACTTCCCCCCTCCCCGAATCACCATGTACATTATGCTGCTCCACAGAAGCTTCCTTCTGGGCAGAGGAACACACCAGGGCTTTTAATCTCTTTCATCTCAGCTCTGAGGCTGATTTGATACTAAATTGGATTCTGAATAAACATACCATTTACAATTGCTTTCGCAAACAATGGGAATCAGGTATTAAAACCCAATGAAAATGCAACTGTCTGTACTTTATTTCACAGAAGCATAGAAGACTGGATTGTGCAGGATCCCAGATCCCCAGAGCCAAGACAGAACCAACCCTTGGCTTTCATAACCTCACTGGGAGCAGGCTGTAGAGGAGCTGCATGGAACAGGACAGTTTTGTGAGAGTGAGCAATAAATCCCCACAGCCTCAGGCATCCAGCCCCACTCCTGAGGCTGTGATGGATGCCTGAGAGCTGCTGCCTCACCACACCTACTGACATCTCCCCCCTGGCTCACAAAACACACCCACACTCCCGACTGTGGATCCAGGGGACAGCAAAAGCCTCACCAAACACCATCAAAGCACTTCCACTCCACTGCAGCATGGCAAGGGAAAACTCACTCTGAAGCCAAAAGTTTTACCTTCAATCCCAAGAACATTTTGCTTCTTGTTTTCTTCTGACACTTCAAACTTCTGTATGATGTCCAGACAATATTCTGGTGTCACATTATTCATCTGCACAAAAACAGCATGGGTACACTCATTCTTAACGTCAGCAGCATGTGAAAATCTACTTAACTTGGAGGAGACAAACAGGAGTGAGAGGTAGCCATCAATTAAAATCTATGTCATTTTAGTCTCAAGATTAAAATTAGATGTTTAGCAGCCTTAATAATGGTACTGGCCAATACTGCTGAAACGAGAACTATGACATTATATTCTTTAATATAATCTTCTTAGACATGCAAAAAGATTTGGCAGGCTTGGATTTCATTTTCATGCGTTTTCCACTCCTATGATTTCATTACTTCCAAGGGAGTTCACTGTAATACACAGGCTAGGAGAGAAATAATTAAATTCTGAAATGAAAAACAGCAGCTTTTCTGAAACAAGGAGGAATTTTGTCAACAGCTTCAGCTAGGCCACAGCTGAGGTTCTAACTGATTTGTGGGACACTTACAAGTGGACACTTATATTTCCTTCAGAACTAAAGCAAGGAGTAGCTCCCATCTCTCATCTCATCTTTCCTCACTGCCTTGAGCTGTAGAAAACCAAAGGAAGAACGAGGACTGCGTGGATTTAATTTCTCCACTACCAACATCACAGGAAGACAATAGGGGCACTCAAACCTCTGGATCATCCTGCTCACTGTTTGTACTGTCCTAGCTAAGCCAGCCATCATAAGATGCTGCAGGAATTACACAGGATAATAAAAAAATAACAATTTAGTATTAAAAATAACTGATTTTCCTTGCTCAGGTTGGTGTTTGATTGCAAGCACTGCTCAGAGCAGGCCCTGTTCTGGTACAAGCTGGCTCTAATTAACATTTCCATTATCCCTCATGGCTCCTTGCTGGCCCAGTGTGGGGTTCTCATGTGCTTGAGGAATGGAAATGTCTAATGTAGTCCAAAGCTGCCTCTACCAGGGAAAAGTCCACACATTTGTGATTTTTTTTAATTGTATCTTGAGAGGTGATGACTTTGGCCACTCATGTTTTTGTTACACTTTAAAGTACTCCACTAAAAATAATGTGGAGTGTTCTCCTAAAGAGGGAGTTCTCCTAAAAAAGAAGCCAGTTTAGGAAGCTAACAAAAACCCCAGCCCACTTTTGTTCTGTCCTCAGGCTGCAGAGTATTTCCTATCTTGCCAAATGAGCAGCAGATGGAGCAGAACAGACTGTCCACACATTTCCGAGCATCCAGACAACAGCAAAAGCAAAATGCTGTTTGGGTGAGGGCACTGGGGAGCTGGAGCACCATCAGCTCCTGGAGCAATGCTGCCCTGGCCCAGGGCACTGCTGGCACTGGGAATCTCCCTGGCCCCCAGAGCTGGGCACTGGGGAGGGGCACAGGGTGCGGGTGCCCTGGGCCTGCCCAGCCAAGAGGCTCAGCAGGAGCTGCTGGTTTCACTCCCCATGGATTGCTGCTGCAGCAGAGCAGCCCCCCAGGCAGCTGTGCCCAGCAGTGCTCTCAGGAGGGCACACAGGGCACTGGGAGGATGCAGAATGCCAGACCTGGCAGTCAGCTCCAGGTTCTGCTGCTTCAGCAGGTCCATGATGTCCCTGTGCATCCCCAAGGGAGCTCCCCCACCTCTGCCACGCATTCCTGCTCCAGGACCCTGAGCACCCTCTCACACTGCTCCCCTGGGCACTTCAAAAACCATCCCAAGCAGCTCAAACTCTTTCTAGAAGCATTTCAAAAAACAATAAAACCTCAGAACTCTCTTCTGCCACCTCTGTGCTTTGCCCTCCACCCCAAGTTAATATTTGCCATAAAATCCTTTCCCTACACTGGAATGTAAGTGCATGGCCACAGCCATGGATGCAGATATTGCCCTACCTTCTGTTCCACCCTCAGGAACTGGGCCAGCTCCTCAGCAGTGAGATGATCCTTCTTGTCACTGTAGCTCAGGAGCAGCAGGTAGAGATCCCGACGCAAGGACATCATCTTGTAAAACACTGAGAATTCTTCAAAGTTCAGGGTTCCTTGGTTCTCATCTGTGTCTGCTTCCTGAGAGGTAACGACACTTAGGTAAGCATGCTCAGCACAGGAGAAATCAGGGAATTAAACACAGCAGGACTCGTGCACACCAACAGAAATGTAGTAAATTCTTGTCTAAAAGACTGTTCAGACACAAATCCTAACAGACTAAAATAACTGCAAAATTATATCATCATCTCTGGGGTTTTTGGTGAAAATGGTTACTAAACTAAAGCCACAGATTCCCTATGAAATTTTAATTTCCTTCTTTAATTTCATATTTATTTCCCCCAGAAAGAGGTTCACCCTGGGCTTTAGTCTGATCTCTTGCCCTCCTGTATGCCCTGCAGTTATCCTGGATTAAAACACAGCAAGAGGCATAACAATATCACCCAAGGCTTCCCCAACAACAGTCTGATATCTTAAAACATTCAGGACAATAGCAGAGTCTTAAATGCACATTATTTCATCTGCAGCACTCTCAGCCCCAGCAGCACTCTGCAGAGGGGACAGCCCTGCAGCAGCACTGAGACTCCACACCAAAACATACACCCAGCATCTCCAGGCTTGATTTGCTCTTTCTCCTCAGAGGTAGGAAGAGAAGAAAACAGACTTAGCACACACTAATACAAGCTTTTTTCCTGTGAACATCTGCCTAAGAGGATTGCTCTGGATTTTCAAAACAAGGAATATATTCTGGAGAACGGCTGGCAGGCACTGTGTGGGTCTCCATGCAAAAAGGAGCTGCAGACTCCTGTCCCAGCAGGTCAGCTGAGAGGAAAGGAACTCTCAGCTAAATGGTGTTGAATGGGATTTTTAATCATTTTAGATCTATGACATACCTTAAATGACATTTATAATCTGTGGGAATGAGTACAACCCAAATTAATCTCTGCAACACCACCCCAGCAGTTTCCAGGTCTTTGGGAGTAGCTCCAGACTCCAAAGATGTATATCTAATGGGGATTTTAAGCCATAGAAGATTCTTCAACTTTCCCATGGTTTACAGCAAAACAGCTTTGAGCTGGTGCTGGTTTAGAAAAGTGAAGATGACTTTTTTTGCTCTCCATTATATCCTTGGCTTATATTTCTTTCCTACAGTAAACACAAGGACTGGTGGAAAATGGGAGCTGTTTTCAGACAACAGAGGTAAAAAACTGATTCTAAATCAAATCTGAATGGCTAAATATGAGGAAGTTGCTAAAGAAAATCTAATTACTTGTATAAAGCCAGTTTCTATTAAATAATTTTCCATAAAGGACATAAAAAATGTTTTAGTAGCAACAGAGTAACTTCATTGTCCATCAACGTCAGCATTGAACAATTCAGTTCAAAGAATTGAAAGAGAATTGAAACAGAATTCAGAATTCACAGAATTCAGTTCCAGAGCTGAAACCAGCAGTGCAGCAGAAAGAGCAACGCTGGTAACTTTTCTGTGTGCTTCATGGCATTTAAACAATGCTCTGAAGTCTCTTTGACTACAAAAGGGTAGGACATAGAAGAAGCCTGTGAGGTGCTGTGGTTTCAGCCCCAGGCTCAGAGCCTGCTCTGATGTGCCCAGAAAAGGATGCCAAGCAGCCCTGGTGGCCGGCACACACCTGGAACATCTGGCGGACCTTCCTGCGGGGCAGGCTGACGTTCAGCTTGTGCATCAGCTGGTGGATCTCCTCGATGGTCAGCAGCCCGTCCCCGTTCTTGTCAGCCTCCTCGAAGGTCTGCTTCACCCAGCTGCCAGCGGGTCAAGGACAGGCACAGGGACCTCCCCACGGACAAGGTGGGCAGGGCAGCTCAGGAAAGAGCCCTCTTTGTCCCTGCCCTTGCTACAGCTCAGACAAATGCTTAAAAGCAGAGCTGGTTTGTGATTATTCACAGCCCAGTTCACAACACCAGCCCCTCTGCACTCCCCTTTCTGATGCTGGTTCCTCCTCTGAGAACGTGCTCCAAAGTTTTTAAATATTGCTGGGCTCACTCTGGGATATTCTTCCACCTGTCCCTTCATTCTATCTGAACTTCACTTCCCAAGCAGCACCTTTCACCCCTCCTTACACAAATATCCCTCAGCACTGCTGCTAAGTTCCTGCAGTAGCTGGGAGTGGGACAAGGCCATTCTGTGTGCAGCCTCCCAGCTGCCACGCTGGATAAAACAAACAGGACTTGCAGGGATGTTTCAGCAGGAGAGAAGATACAGCAGACAGGAGCAGCTCAGAAAAGTCATGGTTAAATATAGCAAGCTGAGGACAGGTGCAACAGAGCATGCAATACAACCCCAATGGACCTGTGCCTGCTGTGATCAGAATCAAACACGGGAGATATAAATTAAAAATACCTGAAATATGTGTATTCTCCAGGAGTACCATTAGAGATTTCCATGAGGCAGAAGAACAGACAGGTTACAATTTTAATTAAGATGGCCTTGGAGTTTGGTTTTTGGGGAAAGAGTGTTCTTTGTGTATAACATTTTAGTCATCACTGTTGTGAAAAAAAAACTGTTGTGGAGAAAAAGGCACATGAAGAAAATATTCAGAGGACACGAGGTTCACTCTGGCTACTGGGCTACAACAAAAATTTAAGGAGCTTTAAGGATTTGTGCTCCTGACAAACAATGGAGGTTAGGAAGGACACAGGCATCTGACTTACACAAGAGCAACAGAGGTAGCCAAGAGTTCCCGAGATACTGAGATAACTAGAAATAACTGGTCTGCCCCTTCACAAAGGAATTCATTAACAAAATGCAAGCCCTGACTCCCCTGCAGTCTGAGCCAGTCCCCAAGGCACAGCCCATGGTTTATCCCACAACGAGTGCCCGTGTCAAACCCATTGCTCAGGTTTCCACTGCAATCAGTGGAGGGGTTTGATCCCTTAAGGGGAGGAGAAAGGGCAGGCAGTGCTGAAGTGACTGGGAAGCAAGGCAGGGATGTGAGCAGGAGGATCCTGCTCCCCAAAGGATACTGGTCGTGCGTTCTCTGGCGCTTGGCGAGCGAGTCCTCGTCGCTGATCCCAGCCAGCAGGTACTTGAGCCCCGTGACCCAGGTGCGAGCCTCCTCGGGGTTGGACGTGATCAGGTCCAGGCTCTCCAGGTGGCTGCCGTGGTAAATGGAGAAGCAGCAGCTGGGCTCAAAGCTGCCCTCGGCGTGGCGGTGGAAGATCTCGGACTGCCGGCCCTCGCTGACTTTGTAAATGGAGTCGATGACGACTGGGGGAAGGAAACCAAAGGACACGCTGGGACAGCCAGCCAGCCTCTTCCTGCTTCCCATAGTCCCGAGTTATTCGGGCTCAGAGGCTTTAAATGTCATTAATGTTACATCTTCACACCCCAAAACCCTGCTGGACTGAAGGTTTCCCTCCATGGCTGTGCCGGCTGCCCCGGAGGCTCTGAGCGCTCCCCAGAACATCACAGGGCTGAGGCTCCAGAAAGGGAGCAGGGCAGACAGACACCCATGCCTCCCATCAGCCCACGAGCCCCTGTGCAGCTCTGTAAGTCACATTATAAAGCTGAACTGCCCCAGAAACGAGAAGAAATATGAGGAATTTACTTTTTGCCTTTTCGCTCTTGCGGGAGGGCCTCCATCGGATGCAGCTCCTGTGCTCATCCAGGTAGAAGAGACGGACCAGCCCCTTGGTTCCACTCTTCAGCTTCACCATCTGCGTGCCAGACTGCATCACACTCATGCATCTCTCAACTGTGGGGCAGAGCAGAACAAATTCCACTGAGCAGCCACCTCAGCCACCACTGACATGACTAACAGGCTGCCCAGAATCTGCCTGGCACACACCAGCTCCGAGCTGGAGCTCCAGTGACAGAAAGTGGGCAGTGCTGGGGGACCATTCCTTCTTCCCTGCCACCTTCTCCACACAGGAAAATGGACCAGCTCATCTGTCTGAACACCCTCACGACAACATTGAGGCAAAGAAAACTTTCATCTGTATTGAAGGAAAACATTTTATAGTTGTTTCATGCTCATCTTATTTACATTTTTTCTATTACTACACAAAGTGCTGTAATTTTAAACGCCAGCACTCCATGCACTTGGAGTGGTGAGATCCTCATTCAAACCCTGCACTCCTCTGGGCTCAGGAGGCCTGGAGTTTGTCCCTCATGCTGTGACACTGGCAGAGCTGCTCACAGAATGGCACAGACACATTCACACCCTCTCCATGCTGCCACCAACCTCCCAACACACAATGGGATAATTTCCTTTCATCCACCCATCCCATCTGAATGATAAGGCTTTTTTCCTCCTCTGTGTTTTGACTAAAATAAACCCATTTCTTCCATTTCATCTCACATCCTCCCTCCTGCAGCCTTCCAAACACAAGGCTCAAGATAACGTTTCCTCTTGATCTCAGTATATAACCATGCTCTTAAATTACCTTCTGCTTTTATCCATTCACAGACTCTCCTCACTTGGTATCACTCCAAATTCATCTCCCTGGGTGATTTGTTTACACTCTGGCTGGCTCCCAAATAAACTCTCTGGGTCTGTCTCTATTTCTTATCACCCTTCCTCTCTCCAGCACTTCTCTCTGCAGTGCTCCTCAGTGTCACAGCAAAGACCAAGCCACAGTCCCACTCCTCTGCCAGAGCTGGGGTTTATTTATTCTCCCAGCAGCTCTGACACACTCACAGGCAGGCAGAACAGCATCTAAACATTGGGCAGAGCAGGGCTGAACAGCCCTTGGGGCTGGAATATCCTGCCCTGGCTTCCTCACTGACCAGGAGCTGGCAGGGCAAACCCATGGAATAAAGCCCATCAGGAGCCTTTTTCCTGAGTTCCCTTTCTTGGGGAAAGGAGGGGACTGTGGCTGAGCTGAACAGAACCACACTCTCCTGAAAGCCTCCTGTGAGTGCAGTAAATGTGCCCTCCACTATGTCCATAAATAATGGCACCCCTGGATCAGCACACACCGAATGAAGGTGAGTTTGGAAGGGCTTTAAGACAAACCACAAATGGGACATAAATCAAGCCAGCAGGAGATGCTAGACTATATCCACATGTTGGCTGGGGCAGCATTAACTTGGGTCTATCTGAAGATGCACAAAGTACCAGGAAGACAAACATTTACACCACAAGGGATGGAAAGCTCAGAACCTGAGAGAAGAAAGATGAACTGAAGCAAAAATAGACTCTAGAAGTCCCTGTGAACATCCACTCATGGATGCCCTTTCTTGGCAGACCCAGCCTTTCCCTGTGGAGCTGAGTTTAGATCAGGTTTGCCTCTGATTCCTACCAAGACAAACACGACTTGTCCCAGCACAGAAATGAGTGTGGACACACAGACGTGCCCTGCTCCACCAGCCTGCCACACACACCACAGCACCTTTTGATCTCACTAATAGAGAGATCACTTCCAGCAGGGCTTTAGCTCAGTAAGAGGTTTAGCAGCAAGCTACTCAACTCAGAAAATCTGCTTCTTTGCACCTAAGACTAGCAGTGACTGGTGAAAGTCTTACAAAAATAACTAATTCTCAAGTAAGTCTCTCTATTAGCACCAGCTCAGTTGTCAGAGAAAAAATCCCAGCCCAGTTTCACTAAGATGCTCTTGAGGACAGCCAGCAAAAGGCAGAAGGGAGAAGACCAGACCACATTTATTCAATACAAGAAAAGCAGAGAATGGGCCACAGTCAGGTAACTGCAGCCAACAGAACTGTGGGGAAAAATAAAAACCACAAAAGGCAATCCAGTTCCTTCCTCACCATTTCAATTGCTTAAACATTCCTACATCAGGTTTGGAATTGTTATGGGTGCAGTCACATCCATGCTTCAGGCACACTTCAGTTACAGGGAACAGATTTTAAAACACTTTCTTTCACAAAGTGGAAGAAACCCAGTCCTTGCCCAACATCTCAACAGCCTCCAACTCCCAAATCCCACCTGCAGGAGCTCCAGCCCCAGGGAGCACCACCTTTGCTGCTTGCACTTTCCCAATTGCAGGGAAATACCATGGGAATTGAAGCATTTAAAGAATGATAAACGTGTAAGAGAGTTCAGGCATCATTCCTGCTGTGCAGGTGTTAATAACAAAAGCTCCACGTTCAAGAAGGGACAGGGGTAATGGAAATGCCACAGCAATCACGAGCCCACTGCATCTCAGCTCTGCAAACCATTTCCAAAACACCCCATCCTCCCCTTCGGGCTATTTAGAAAATAGAAGCACGCAAATAAAAAAGGTCTTTTTCAGATCTATTCTCAGCATGCTAATGCCGGTCCCTTGGCAGACACCACAAATTTGCATCTGAATGGGGAAGGTACCAGCAGGGCAGGGCAGGGTAAAGCTCCAGAAGAGCAGTTCAGGAAGGATTTCACCGAGGAATAGGGAAGCTGCTTCCAGAAAAACATCTAAGCCTGTAGATAAACCAGGAATACAGAGCAAATGAAGCAGCTCCTCAATGCAGACACAGACTAAAATTTGAGGAAGCAAGACATGATTCCCATTAAAAGATGTTCTTCTAACACAAGGACTAGCTGTGCATTTTTTGCTCAAAGTCTGAAAATGAATTGAGTTAAACTAGAACGCAATGTAATTTATGTTACAAGAGCAAAGAAAATTAATCTGGAATTTTAAATAAAAATTTGTGCTCATGCAATGTATAAGGAAGGTATCCTTGCCAGGGCAGGGGGTTGGAACTGGGTGGTCTTTAAGGTCCCTTCCAACCCAAACCTTTCCATGATTCTATGATATTTGAAGCTTTCATTTAAAATTAAAAACCCCTGATAACTACATTCACTTCTGTTTGCAGAGTTATGCAAACTTGACAGCCTAAAATCATCCCAACAGACACCCTGGAGTTTAACAGGATTTAATAATGAAACACCCATCTACTTTTCTTCCTCCCACAATAACCCTTTGAAGCAAGAGAGCCCTGAATTCAAATAACATTTTTAATTTAGCTCAGCCATGAGAATCACTCCTAACACAAGCCTCTCCTTGGGCAGGAGCTGCTTCTGCACCCGAGGGTAGAGCAGGTACAAACCCACCCGTGCCAGCTCAGCCTTCCCTGGCATGGCCACGCTGCCAGCACGTGGCAGGGCTGTGGGGCCCGGGGTGTGCCAGGGTGTCCCCAGGGTGTCCCATGGAGCCCCAGGATGTCCCCAGGGTGTCCCTGAGCCCCAGAGTGTGCCAGGGTGTCCCAGGGTGTCCCTGAGCCCCGGGGTGTGCCAGGGTGTCCCAGGGTAGTCCCATGGACCCCCAGGATGTCCCCAGGGTGTTCCATGGAGCCCTGGGGTGTGCCAGGGTGTCCCAGGGTGTCTCTGAGCCCCGGGGTGTCCCATGGAGCCCTAGGGTGTCCCAGGGTGTCCCTGAGCCCCAGGATGTCCCCAGGGTGTCCCAGAGTGTCCCATGGACCCCCAGGATGTCCCCAGGGTGTTCCATGGAGCCCCGGGGTGTGCCAGGGTGTTCCCAGGGTGTCCCTGAGCCCCGGGGTGCCAGGCAGCTCCGTGGGTGCCCCTGCCCACGCCGCTCTGGCTGCCCACTGAGCTGGCACTGCTGGGCAGCTCCAGCAGCACCAATCCCCCAGACCAGCCCTGCCCTCCCCGTGCCAGAAGGAAATTATTTAGGGAAGCAAGACATTACACTGAGCAGCATCTTCCAGCAAACAGAAGAGCATTTTGCTGTATGGTGCACATCCCTGCAGAGAAACAAACACCCTCTCCCATCAAACCTGCTCTCTGAGGTTACAGAAATATCTTGGCTATTTTTTGCTACTTTACTTTGGGGTTTAGTTATTCAAGAAAACACTGTTACCTTTGCATTAGCAGCACAATTCTACTGCCAAGAGTCTACAGCAAAAGGTTACACCACTGTTGTGAGATAGATAATTTTACTTTAAAGCCAAATATAAAAACAAATTTCCCATTGCTGTCCACAAACAGTATTTTTATTTTCCTGTATGTTAAGAAATTAATATTTCAAAGTGCAACCAAATGACAAAAGGTCTGGTCTCATCTTGCTTTTATGGACTTATTATTACAGCCATCTGACAAAACAAAAAGATTAAATAAGTATAAAGAGCATTACCAAACACTGAGAAGTATAATTATGAAAGAGGATATAAACTGGGTTTCTAAATGATAGGCATTAACTGAATTAAGCCAACATTAAGCTTGAAGAGATAAAAGGAACCCATAAAATGCAGGAGTTACTTTTCTAACTGCAGCAGCAGCTCTCCTCCCCTGCATTCAGTATTTTGGGGCTTCCTGTGTATTTTGAAGGGTTGTGAAGCCCTGGCACAGCTGCCCAGGGCAGTGGTGGGGTCACGGTCCCCGAAACGTGTGAAAAACGAGGGGATGTGGCTGTTGAGGAGCCAGGAAAGGGCTGAACACCGTGGTGGGGCTGGGCTGATGGTTGGACTCCATGGTCTGAAAGGTCCTTCCCAAAAAGCCCCAGCCCTGCGTGGGGACCAGCACAAAACTGCACTGTCCTGTCAGCAGTGAAAACACTCTGGATGCAGCCCAGCCCCAGAGCAAAGGCCAGAACCCCTCTGGGGGAGCCCAGGGCTTCCCTCTGCCTGCCCTGCCAGGTCAGGAACCCCTGGACAGAGCCCCAGAGACCCTGGTGTGATCTCTGCCCATGGAAAAGAGTTTTCAATCTTACAGGATCAATTACCAGCTCTGAGGGTTTGATATCAGTAATAATTAAGTGTGGCACAGGTTCAAAAGTAAAATTTTAGGATTCTAGATGA